TGACAGGGAGAGAGATTTTGATCGAGATGATCGTTTCAGGCGTCCCAGGTATGACTTCTCTGTTCAATACTCCTAGAATGTTTCTGCTCAAAGAAAAAAGGGCCCTGCTGGTACAGAAATAATGTGGAATTGCTGAGTGAAAGGAAAAGGGTTAGTTTGTGTGAAACTAAGCACTTTAGGGCAGCAAATGGATAGGGGCATTTTGGGGCCTTTTTAGTTTGTTATTTTTAGGATGATGCTATCTGTTTACAGGAGGAATTCCAACATGCTTAAAATGCTTTTAAATGTTTCTTTTAAACCTATTATCAAGGGAATTCCATGTTAGGCTCTGAAAAACAAAACCAATTTTGGAAGTATGTTAAATAGACAGCCACTGGGGCTGTAAATAGCCATGTTGTGATTTATTACTGCTCCTGTCCATAGCAAAAGTAAAAATCTTAACATCTAGTTTTATGTTTTGCATGGCCAAAGGGATGACGGCGGTTGGAGGAGAGGGCCAGCTGAGGAAACTTCCAGCTGGAGAGATTCCAGTCGTCGGGAGGAGTGGGACAGAGGTGGTCGTGACATGAGAGACCGCCGTGGTGATGACAGGGAGCCGCCCCTCAGGAGAGGGCCACCCCTCCGATCCGAGCGGGAAGAGCGTATGTTCATTTCAGTGTCCCTAAATCCTACATGCAGCACAGAGCCTCCCTCTTCCTGACACTGCTGGGAGGGGGCTCACATGGGAATAGGTTATATTTGCAACCTGTATTTAAACTGCCTTTCCATAAACAATATAATAAAAAGCACCTTTGGCATAATTAAGAATTCTTCAGGGAATCTTAACTTATTAGTAGTTGGGTTCTTTTTCATCTTAGTAGCATTTCATATTGACAGTAGGAGGAGAACATTTCCAGTGTGCACTTCTCATAGGATTGTGTTCTGGATGTATGTAGTCGTTGTGTTTAGACTATCAAGACAGACATCCCAGAAAGTAATTCCTGGCCCTTTCCTTGAAACCATTAAAATGTGACAGAAATATTTCTGAATGAGGGTTTCACACTATTAACGGTACTAATTTTGTATTAATTTTATATATTTATTTATCATTTGCTGTGTTCTAAAAACACAGTAAGAGCAAATCCATTTAGCCTGTAGGTACCACCAGATCTTGCAATTCTGGCGTTCTTATCTTCAGAATCTCATTTTGTCTCTGCACCAAATGTGGGTGTTCTGCACTTGGCAGCAGGCTGGAGCAGAGCATGGGATCAAACACAGGAGTGCTGCTGACAGAAAGACAGAGTGTTCTCAACGTAGAGATTTTTTTTTTTTTTTAATGTATCAAGAAGTTTTGGGATTTGACTTCTTGGCATCTCCCACAGCCTTGTTCACACACAGCTGGGGTGGAACTCTTAGCATCCTTTTTGGTGGAAATGAACAGTTTTTCATACAGTAAGGGGTGGTGGATGCTGTTACCAGTGGAGTCATGTAATTCAGTATCATTTTATGTCTGATTCCAATATGCTGAAGAGCAATTTCCTGTCTTTTAATAACAGCAAACATTAAACATTTTCCACTGATGTTTTTAAGTCAGAATTTTTCTGTTTTCAGGGTTCAGTCATTTCTAAGGAGACACTTTTGTGATTTTAATTCTGCTAATATAAGAATATATTTTTACACCATAAAACCATGTACATCAGTAGAACATTCTTATTGCAGTTGCTGTGTTTTAAAGATGACACTGGGCTTGCTCACCACAATCCCAAACCTGAGAAGAGGTTTTAGTAGTTCTGTTGCTTCCCTACAAAACTAAAACGTGCATTTGGCCGTTGTCATCGTATTCCCCATTGGCAGGGCTGAGGATCAGTAAATCCCACTGCCAGGGTCAGGGCTGTTTGTTTGAACTCTTGCTGCTGGAGCATGACTGAGTTGTTTCTGTTTCTTCCTGCGCCGTAGCGAGCTCGTGGCGACGCGCTGACGACAGGAGGGAAGAGCGCGGGGACGAACGGGAACCGGCGCGGCGGTCGGGCCCCGCTCCTGCTGCTCCTCCAGCTTCTGCTCCCCCAGCAGCATCCAAAGAGCGGGAAAGGGACGGGGACAAGGAGAAAGGATCCTGGAAAACAGAGAAGGAGCGTGAGCCCGTGCGCCGCTCTAAAAACGAGACAGATGAAGAAGGGTGGACCACTGTACGACGTTAAGTTTAACCGATGTTTTAGCTTTGATTTGATCGGATCCACAGATTATATTTGTGCTTATAAACATTCTGAATTGGAATTCTTTAACCAATGTTTTGAGGTAACATGAAAGCATGAATTACTTACTCATATAGATTGATCATGCACAAAACTCACAGCAGAAGGTTGGAAATTGAATGAATTGAATTGAATGCCGGGTTTTGAAATTTCAGATGATGCTTATTTCATGGGTCATTTGTTGCTAAAATAAAAAGAAGCAAGCCCAACAGCTGTCTTCGGTAGAGCTTCTCTCTCGCACCAAAACAGGCTGCCCTTTATATTTTTAGTCTTTCTTAATTTGGAATGGGGTATTATTGTCACAGGATATGCAATTGAAAACACCTCTGTTCACACAGTGGAATTATTGAAAAAGCAAAGCTAAAAGAATTTGCATAATTAGCCAAAAAGTAGAAAAGCCCTCTTTTACATAGGTATGTTGGAGGGCAAGTGGTTTCTGAGATATTTTATCACTATCTAAATTCAGTAAGTTGTTTAAATTTGAATTGAATACAATAAACATTGTGAATTAGCTGCACTGGGATATTTTCTGTAGATTTACTTGAATCCATGATGCCTCTGAGGCCACTTTGCAGTCATTGTTCCAGTAATGTACACACTGCTGCAGTGTACAAATCAAACTTGCAGTTTTTACAATTTCAGTGTTTTGGTAAGCATATGGCTATGTACTTTCTGTTGCCAGTATCACAATTGCTTTTTCCATTACTGGATAATTCATGCCTTTCAAAGATTTATAAATATTGTCATATTTAAAATGTGTGGTTTTGGAGAAATTGTTCAATTTTCCCCCCAATTCTTTGTCTTCAGGGTCAATTCTTTCCCTTTCCAAAAAAGTGATTTGTAGTAATGGCTGTGTTGACTTCAAAGCTGGGGTGTAGTAACAACAAGGAACGATGTGGTCACACTAAAGCCAACACAGAACTTGCTGCTGTGTGTTTCTTCAATGATAAATAAACAAGTTAAGGAATTAGCTGCTGCAGTGTCTTGACTTTTTAGTGAGTTCTGCACCATGTGTTCATGCAGAACAGCTGTTGAACAACTGTTTTCTGTTCTCAGACCTGGTCTGTACCAGCTGAAGAAGGTGAGAACACCTGGGCTAGTTTCTCCCTGAGAAACCTGGTGTGTGAACACAAGTTGTAATACTCCTCTTGTCCTTTTCCTGCCCTCTTCTGGGTTATCTAGGGCCAGTAGTTTCCTTGGGAAAAACTTGGTCTCAGAGCCTTCTTCTCAGGGTTTGATTTTTGTCTTTGGATCCTGTCATGTCATTGCTGGTTGAGTCAAAGGGCTCATTCAGAGAAGTAGTGTTTTCCAAGCATAAAAAAATACTACATTTTTTGTTCTTTATACAGTCTCAGAAAGGATGGAACTAGAGAACAGCAGCCATCCAGTAATGGTGCTTACTGGATCTGTTCTTCAGCCACCTTCTGCTGTCCTTGCATTCTGTGTCACAAGATCAGTGCTGTTAAAGAGAAAAGGAGCTCACTTCACTGCTGGCTGTGAAATTCCTGTTACTTAGAACCATGTTTATCCAGTGTGGTTTTGAAGACCTTCAAGGCTGTGGCCTGCACAAGTGTTCTGGGAAGCCTCTTCCAGTGCTTGACTGGCTCCAGACTGAAAAATCAGTGTCACAGAATGGTTTGAGTTGAAGGGGACCTCCAAGGTCATCCAGTCCAACCCTCAGCTGCAATGAGTAGGGACACCTGAGCAACAATCTGATCACATTGCTCAGAGCTTGAATGTTTCCAGGGATGGGGCATCCACCCTTTCTCTTGCAATGTGTGCCAGTATTTTCCACCCTCATTGTTAAAAGACCTCTCGTATCTAATCTGAATCAACCATCCTTCAGTTTAAAGCCATTTAAAACCTTTTCCTATCACGACAAAATCTGCCAAAAAAGTCTGTCCCCGTCCTTCTTACAGGCTCCCTTCAAAGGCCACAGTTAGGGCTCTGTGGAACCTTCTGTTCTCCAGGCTGAAAAACCCCAGCTCACAGGGGAGGTGCTCCAGCTCTGGTCATTCTGTGGCCCTCAAAATTTTAAACCTCTCTCTTTTGGCTTCCGTGTCTCTCTGTTCACTGTGTGCTACTGTGGAGAGTTGGAATTTTCCAGATAACTTCTTAGTAGGAAATGGGTGGCTGCTGTGAGGTCTCCCCTAAAACCCTTCTTCTATCCAGGCTGAACTGGGCCTGTCCCCTCAACCTTTCCTCCCAAGAGTGTGCTCCAGCCCCTGAACACTTGGCCCTCTGCTGAACTCAAATTTGGCCAAGTCCTTGTATGGAGGGAATGGAACGCGAAAGAGGAAAGACGAGGTGAGCTGAGGAGGATCCTTTCCTTCTACAGGCAAGATCCAGGCCCAGACAGTCCAGTGCCCAGCTCAAACAGCTGGGACCTGCTGGCTCATGCTCACCTTTTCCCCTGCCGGGGCCCAGAGGTATTTGAGCCCCCAGCCTGCCACTGCAAGGCTCCCTCCTTGGCTGGGCAGGCCCCTGCCCTGCTCCCTCTTGAATTGAGCAGGCTCCTGTCCATCCCTGTGGCCAGCAGCCCTGTCCCAGCTCTGTGGGCTGGAGCTCCCACTTCAGTGTCATCCCGTGGCTGTCTCCAGGGCCTAGAGGATGGTTCCAACCCACAGTGCTGAGCCTGGACATGCAGCCAGTTTTTCTGCCCTCTTTATTATGTGGGCTATAGCATCCTGAGCTGGGTGCAAGAATATTGGGTGAGACAGTGCTGAAAGCCTTATTAAAGTTGAGATGAACAACATCCAGTGCTCCTTCCCTTGTCCATAAAGATATTTTATTATAGAAGGCAGGTATGGGTTACCCTCAGTAATTCCATCCTGGCTGTTCCCAGTTGTCTTCTGCATGTCCCCAAAAAGACCTTCTGAAAGGATTTCCTCTGGTTTTCCCAGGGGCTGAAGTGGTACCATCTGGCCTGTGCTTTCTCAGAGGGTCCTTTCAGCCTTTTTATCAACCACAGGCACAACACTTGCCTTCCTCCAGCCTTGTAATATGTAAATAGTGATTATACCTTCAGTTACATAGTTTTAATTGTATCCACATAAAGATGCTTTCACACAGGGAGGAGTGTTAGTCATCCCTGCAGCAGCTAAAGCTGTTTCCCAATCTGTGTGATTAATTTGCATTATTTGAGATTGTGATAATGTTGTCAATGAGTGTTACATTGTCAGGACTGGGCAGCTTGAGACCAGGCTTGGGAGCTGTGAGCTTTGCAGGGATGTTAGTGTGTCTATTTAATTGTTTGCTCTGTTTAGACACAATACTGACAGTGATCAAAAACCTCTGCTGACCAAATCCAACAGCTCAAACCTCCATCTCCTGCCATCATTAAACATGAGCACATTTGGTTACCTGAAAATGTTGATGAAGCAAAATGAGTTCTGTGTCAATCTTTTCCTTGTTTGAACCATATTCCATTAAACAGCTAAAATTTTCAGTGAACCTTAGAAGAATACAAACTGCCACAGGGTGTATTTAGAAGGCAGAACTTAAGGCTGCTGCTGTTTGAATGGATGCAAACATTGCTGGATTAAAATAAATCTCCAGCAAGGCAGTGTCAGGTATGAAAAGTGCTGTTCCCTTCCTGCCTCCAGGAGCAGTCCAGACTGCTGACCCAATCCAGACACTTACCCAGCCCATTGGCAGGACTGAGGGCCATCAGGGTCCTCAGCAGAAGAAGGATGTCATTGGCATTATATTTAAGCTTTCTCTAGAGTGCTTTACCTATAAAAGCTAATATTTTTTTTTTCAAAATCCATATATATAAGAACTGGCAGGGTGCAGTGGTGTTACTCCTGACTGCAGCACTTTGTGACTTTAGTGACCTCAGTGAGGCCAGGCCATGAGGAAGGCCAGAAGGATGTTGGGGTGGGCTGGTGGGCAGCCAGGAGGATCTCAGACAGAGTACTGGAAGGCTTGTCTTGCTGTAAACGGAACATATCTTTTTGTTTTACTGTCCTTGGGCTGCTGTCATTGGCAAGAACTGCTGCATATAAGCAAGTTCTCCTCCTGTGGCTAAAGGGTACTGCTGAATGGTGTCAGCCTACAAAGGGAAGGCATTAGGTCAGTGAAATGCAAGATCCAAAATCTACCTGGTATTCAGGCACTGGTGCCCATCCTGTGGTTTCCTGCAGCATTGCAAAAAGTAGGCATTCAAGTGGTATAACAAAAACACCCAATTCTTCATTTTTTGCCATAGCAGGATCAGCTGGAGCTGAAATGTTCTACACCTTGTCTGGTCCTCCTCTTAAATAAAATTAATGCATTTAATTACAGTAGGATGGAGATTTTAAAAACTATTCCACTGCATTTTGCTAAACAAAACCTCCCTTGCTGCACTTTAAGCTCTGTTAGCCCTTTCTCTCTTGAGCAGGAAGCTTTACTAAACTTTGTTCCATTTTTAGTGTATCACTTGTTTTGTCCAGACAACAAGCATTTTAGAATTTTATCTTCCTCCCCATGCAACTCTTAGCAACTCATTTCCAGTAAAAACCTATATATCTGGTGGGTCAAACTAACACTATAAAAAATACAAAAAAAGACTTTTTATAGCCAATGTAGTTTGGTCCTATGGGATCTGCCTGAGGCACTGGTCAGCAGACTGACAGGAACCTGCCCAAACAGAATTTCCACTAAAGATGGGCACAGACTTACCTGACTTAGCTGAATCGAGTTACCTATACACGTGGAAGTAGTTTCTAATTAGGAGTAGCTTGCTTTTTGCCAAGCCTAGTACCAGCTGAGGCTGATTATCCAATATTGTGTTCACTCCTCTGGCGACTATCACTATAGAAAATATTCCATGACTTACATGCACAGGTTTAAACAGGAGACCATAACATTTTGATTTGCAGATGCCCATAGAAGAGTGAAAATGGTATCTCATAGTATTCCATAGACCTCTTCTGTGGAGCATAATACAGCTCTAACCTGGGCTGCTTTCAGATTAGGCTCTGCTGTTCCTAGCATTTAAATTACTAATGCAAACGCTTCCCCATATTTAAGGAGTCAAAGTAGCAATACAAACATTGCCTATTGTAATAACCTTTTCAGAGTGACCAAGAACTAGTGTGTTTCTGCTCACTCAGTGCCACAAGGAGTGTGCTGGTGCACCAGAAATCACAGGAGCTTACTTAAAAAAAAACTCAATCAAAAAGCCTTTAAGGTTTAGTCTTTGTTAGACTCACACTTGTAAATCTTTAAAGGGCAAATTGTCCTGTTGAATGATTACATAAAGTAACTGAAGAGCCTTGCTGTCAGGCTCTTTTGCTGAATCCTGTCATCTTTCTGCAATAGTCTGAAGTTTGTTGTTTTGGGTTTTTTTTTACCTCCCCCACCCCCAACTGGTCTTGAAGCTGTTACTGTTCCACTTTACCTGTTAAGCCTTTTGATGAGATGCCTAATGCTGGGTGGCAGTGATGACAGGCAGCTCTTGGCCTTTCCAGAGCAAGCTGCAGGTACTTGGAGAACACAACCAGGAGCAACAGGCAGCAGCACAGGCCGTGGATAGAAGTTTTCCTCTTACACAGGCTCTGCAGAAGGCCAGTGCCATCCAAGACACAGGATCTGCTGTTATCCTGAGGGATTTCCAGGTATTGCTATAGGGCTGGTACTGCACAGCAGCTTAATGTAAAGACCAGAGAGGTGGGGCAGACACATGGCAAACACCTCCAATCCAGCCCAGCCAGTCAACCCTCAGAAAACACCCGAGACAGATTTTCTTTGATCTTTCTTGCTTTTGTGTCCAGTAACAGTCAACTGCATTAAAATGTATATAAGGATCTTCAAACTTCCCACAAGGAGGTAACAAAAGTACAGAAGAAAACTCTTCCCACAGCATCACACTTGAGCTTGATTCTAACGTGTGGTGGACACAGATTAAACCTATGTGGACCAGGAATCACAAAACCAAACACATCTAACTTTAACAGCTTAGAAGAGCCTGTGGTGCACTCCCCATAGAGCAAGAGACAAAATGTAATGTATTTAGCACAAGGAGAGGGAGGCTGGCACAAGGATAGCTGTAGCCACTGAGTATTATTTAATGCAAGCCCCACTGCGTTTGATAATTAGACTTGACACCATCTTTGGAGCCATCTGATGGAGATTTAAGGGAACACTTCTACACAAAATCACTTTCTCCCTCCTAATTGCTGTAGCTGCAAGTCAACAGCAGAGATGCATAATGAACCCTGGGTCTTCAGCCCCAGCCCATCCTACACATGTTTTGACTCCATTCTTGACTGTCCTTCTCTCCTGATCTCATCTGCCACCCTGCTGAGCAGCTTTCCAAAAGGAAATCACACAAGTGCGGATTACTCCTCACTTTCCTAGTTCCCTTTTTCTGCCAGGACCCATCTCCTTTCTCATCTTCGTGGTGATGTCCCGGCAGTTCCTCCACAAGGCTCTCTTCACCTCCCTGCTCTTGTCAGGGCAACCCCTGTGGACTGAGCATCCCTCCACACCCCCGGTGTTGGTAAAGCCACACAGCAATGTGACCCTCTGCACTGAAAACTCCAGCATCCATCTTTCTGCTCCAGAGGACTCTTATACTGCAAACTGCTGCTGCTCCTTGTCCTACCTCTGGGTAACAAAAAACCCAAAAACAAACAAACAAACAAAAAAGCAATTTCTTTTCTCTTGGGGATTAGAAGTGATATAGCCCTGTCTGATGTTCAGTACCAAGGAACTGCCATCCCCCCATAATGATCCAGGACTTCAGCCCAATTCCTATGCTTTGTACAGTCTGTGTAGTGTTAAGGATATTTGTTATCCACATGAGTAGATCTCTTTTACTTTCAACGAGTTAAAGCCACATTCTCTGAACTCTTGAAAATAAACAACCTCCCTTTCTTCCACTCTCGTACGGTCATAGCCTTCGGCTTTGTCTCTTCCCATCAAGCTTCCCCCATTCTCCACCACAAACACAGCCGCATCAAAGCCTGCTCGACTGCCATTCTTACTGCCTTTCTCTCAGCAGAAAGGGCTCCGTTTGCACTCTAGCCCAGAGCCGTCACGTTTCCAAACATGCACTTGGATGTTTTCTCCTCTCAGACCTTCCCTAAAGCTGAGTATTCGCCACGGGGACCTGCGAGACCAGCGCATCGGTGCCCATGAGAGGAACGGTGACCGCTCGGATGCTGCGATTTCGGGAAGCAGGTGTTAATTACTGAGGGGCAGGTTCGATCGCGATTTGCTCACAGGTTTTAAAACCGGCAAAGAAAACCGCTGAGATGCTTGCTTTAAGAACTGAAAAGCAAGTTCTTTTCACTCGAAGGAGTGTGGTACCCTAATTAAATACCCTGCTATTAACTGGAAATGAAGAACAGCACTCCCGCCCGATGCCCCGCCGGCACGGAGCGCTCGGGACGGGCAGATCCGGACCGGACCGGGCGGGGCGGGCGGCACCGGGGACCTCCCCCGCCACCTCCCTGGCCGTGAGTTTAACCCTCAGACCCCCCCAGCGCACGCCCACCCAGTCAGATCTCGCCGTCTCCGTAAAAATCACATATAGATATATTTTTTTCTTACAATAAACAAACACAGCGCATCTCCGCCTGGCAGTCCCCGGGCCCGGCGCCGGGCTCCGCGCGTTCCAGCGCGCAGCGGGGCCGGGGCAGTGTCAGCGTGGGGGGGAGCGGGGCGAGCCCCGCGGGTCCCGGCCGCTAGCGGCCCTTCCTGCCCAGGGCGGTCCGGGCGTGCCGGAGCTGCCGGGCCGCCGGCACTTTGGACAAGGGGCAGTACTTGATGGTGTGGGCATTGTCGCCGCTGGCGCCGCAGAGGGGGCAGGTGTAGCGCCGCAGCACCGGGCACAGGACGCGGCCGTCGGGTCCCTTGAGGATGTGCGTGGTGTAGAGGGCCACCGCCTCCTTGTTGTTCCGGCAGAAGACGCAGACCTGCAGCTCGGGCTTGAGCAGGCGGGAGGCGGCCCGCGGGTGCGCCGGCAGCCGCCCCGCCACCACCACGCCGCCCCAGGCGTGGGCAGAGCCCTCCCGGCCCGGGTGCTCCCCCGAGCAGTCGAACACCACGGCGGCGGGGCCGCCGCGCCCGGGAAAGGGGCTGAAGTCGGCGAAGCGCTCCTCCAGCAGCCCCTCGCCGTGGTGGTGGTGGTGATGGTGGTGATGCCCGCACAGGTCCAGGTCGTGCAAGTCCAGCGCGCCCTCGAAGTACGGCCCCGACGCCTCTTCCTCCTCCTCCTCCTCTTCCTCCTCCTCCTCGGCCGGCGGCACGGCGGCCGCCACCACCACCGAGGGGGGCTCGGCACCAAAGCCCTTGCCGGGCCGCACGGCCTTGGTGATGAGCGTGGCCAGCCCTAGGTAATCGTTCCAGGAGTTGAAGACGTTCCCACAGGCGCTGTGGCTCCGGCCGCCGTAGCGGGCGCCTGGCAGGCACTCCACGGGCGGGAGGTGCCGGTGCTGCTCCAGCTTGGTGCCCGGGAATGCCTCCATGGGAGCGGCCCCTCCCTCGAGCGCGGTGCGGGGCAGCGCCGGGCGCACCGTCCGCTCCGGGGCCGCTCCCGCCGCCCGCTCCCGCCGCCTCTGCGAGCGCGCGGCCGCAAGGAGCGCCTCAAGTAGGGGGCGGGGGCGCGGCCGCCGCGCTCCCATTGGCTGCGGGACAGAGCCCCCCACGAGCTCATTGGCTGAGAGGCGGTGGGGGCGTGGCTCGACCGCGGTCCGGGCGCGCTCCGGTCTCGCAGGTGCGGCGGGACCGGGTCTGGGATCGGGGATGGGATCGGGACGGAGATTGGGATCGGGGCTGAGATGGGGATGGGGATGGGGATGGTCATGGTCATGGGGAT